GATGGTGCAGACACCTTATGGCGTAGTTCCAGACGTTTACGAGAAAGAGTCCCGACACCTGATGCCTTACTGGGGGATGTAATGCTGCCGAGGCCCGCAGCAGCCCCAGCCCCTGTGCAGTACCAGCATCTGCTAGCACCGTCTGCTCCCTTCATCTTTTCAAGTGGTTTACTTCTGGTTCTCCCTCAAGTGTTTTTACACTGAGTGCTCAAATTCATTTTAAGAGATAGGGAGGGGACATAAAGGGATTTGTCTTAGTAACGTTTTTAAAACTAGCATTTTGAAATAGTGTTTATGAAAATCTTGAACTGGCTTTTAATCATTTTTAACAATTTGAACAGTTTACTAAACTGTTTCTGCTTTATTCTGACTTCCTTGCCTTTTGGCAACATGGCAGGAGGAGCGCAGTGCAAAATTCTCTCTGGCTGGGCTTTGCCCAGAGTGCCCACCAAACACGCTTAGTTAGGGAAGACTGATAGACAGCGTCTCTCCTGGATTAACCCTTTCCTTTCCTCTCTATTATTTAGTGAGTCTGTAAGTTAAATACACTTTTATTATTTAGTTGATAAGTAATTATAATGAAATCTGCTGCAAAAACTCTTGAAATCAATGTGCCCCAGAATTATATGAGCATTATTTTTAATAAATATATCTGCTTAACATAGAACCTTTACTAGTAATGTTGGGGTGTGTGCGTGCATGTGTGCTGCTGCTGAAATATGCTCCCCCAATAACTATGCTAAACACTGCTTAAAACAGGCACCTAGCTGAATCACGTTGGTGTCTGACATCCTTGCTGAAGGATAGACATTATGCATAGAGCGTCTGCTTTAATAGGTACTGTTTTCAGTTTCCTTTAGGTAAGTGCAATGCACCAAAATATCCATCTTCCATCAAACAAATCAGTTTTTTTTAGCAAAAGGCATGTCTCTGTTGACGGTTAATACACAAGAGTTATCGAAATTGAAGCTTGGCATGAGTAATAAGCAAATGACAATAGCTTCCTTTGTTTAGCTTTGGAAATGTCACCCAGTTCCTCGTTCCCAGTAAATCTGTCAGCACAACTCATCAGAGATGTAATAGAGTTTAATGAGCTCTAGGCGCTGACCAGGTGGATTCTTACACTACATCAGAGAGCTACCTGAAGTCTACAGCAGACACGGCTGCTGCTACAGCATACTTACATATGTCACAACTTATTCATGCAATAATGTTCTAGCTTTTTTTTTTTGCCTGTCCTGGGGCTTGAACTCGGCCTCAGCGCTGTTCCTGAGCTCTTTTTGCTAAAGGCTGGCATGCTACCACTTGAGCCAAAGAGCTACTTCCAGTCTTTCTGAGAAGTTAGAGATAAGACTTTCTTGCCTGGGCTGGCTTCGAACCCAGATCCTTAGATCTCAGCCTCCTGATTAGCTAGGATTACAGGCATGAGCCACCAGTGCCTGGCACCTTTTGTAAATTCTAAACAAATCCCTCTTCTATACAAGAACCACTCACCCACTCTTACAAATATTCACCATTATTGCCTAAATAGAAGAACCAAAAATGCAAAATTGTCCATGATCAGAATGTAGTGAAGACAAAGCTTTAATGAGGGGATACCAGGGCTTTTTCAGTACAAGGCCCAACTTTAGGTCCAGGCCTTGGATCAAGAACCCCAAAGCAATCACTGTCCCATAGGAAGGAAGCATCCGGTGACCCAGACATTTGGAAAGTAAGGAACATTTTCCTGTAGAAATCCTGTCACACAATACTATTGGAATGTTAACCAAGTGTTCTTGGCTCTTGGGAAGCCTAACTCCTTTCCAAGTGTCCTAGCTCACTTCATCCTAGTGCCTTACGTTTATGTGAAATCTTAACCTGTCAAAACAAGACCAAAAGTATATAGTAGCATGACATTCTCCTACACTTGCTTTTTATGTTAGAGAAGTTTAACAGTTAATGTCATCACAGACCCTCAGAATCTTTTAGAGTCAAGATTTATAATGGCTAAACAGGGCAACTAGGGAGCTATTTGTGCAGCTGTACACACAAGGAAGAGCCACACCATCCTTCATTCACTCATTCACCTCATTCACTTATGCTAATATAACATAGCCAAAGTCACAAAATAATGAACAGTCATACAACACTATTTACATTAATGTAAATGGAGAAAAAATTACTATGCTGATACTTAAAGTATTTGCAACGTGGCATATTTCACCCAGAGCTGTTTCATTAAGTTCCTTCCTCAGCTGAACTTTGGAAGGAGAGGACTTGCCGGTGTAACTATTTGGTGTAAACTCTTCCAACCAAGGCATAGAAATACAGGGTAGACATCTTGCCTGCATACTGATGCATGTTGAACTGGTCTATAGCAGGCTACGATGCTCCCCTCTGAGCAGCAAATGCCTTTGAAAAATGTTACTTTATTAGCTGTTCGTTCACAAAATAAGCTGTTTGATCTAGGTGTAGAGGGGAATTTTCAGTGGCCCCAGTACAAAGCAAGCATTTCACAACTGTAACATACAACCCCTACAGTCTTTTCAAGAACATTCTACTAGGAAAGTAGATGTCTTTATGCGAATTAGACCAAAAATTAAAAAAAATTCAAACACACAAAATATGTATAATTACACCTAACATTAAAATAGTTTTAAATATGCAGTCCATGTAGAATACTAACTAGGAGATGGGAAAAATAAATCATAGATAATATCCTAGTATACCTTAGACCTGTTCTAAGCTCAAGCATGTTCAGACAAAAATTACATGCTAACCCATAGAAATCTAAAAAGCAAAACACAATACTCAGAAAAGTGCTTATTAATCGCCATTCAAACAGTAGGGTGAAACTGCCTGACACAATACACAGGATGGGGATAAGTAACCTTGGTTACTGTTTCCAAGGACACTGTCCTCTTGGCTAACAGGAGAAGCGCTGAAGTGAAGCTGAGAGCAGGGTTGAGTCATTTCGGTGAGCGCATGCAACGACAACCAGCCCCGTGGTGTTTTACCCCCATCCGCACTGGAGGCATCTAAACAAACATTTCAAGTATTAAACACATTCAAAGTAGTGGATACTTTTCATAAGAAAAGGTTTTTACTTGATCGCTTCTGAATTTTCCTCTGGCACTGTTCAAGGTATCACACTTGGTAAGGGCATCTACAATAATGAGGAATGTTATCCAAGGCATTCTGGAAGAAAATCTAAGAGTGGAGACCAATCTAGTAAACAGATTAAACAAAAAATTACTGCATGTAACATTTCACAAAATGCTTCAGCAATATAAATCCTGTCAAGCTGGAACCATGTTTCTTGGTAAGGTAGATTCCATTCTCTGGTTCTATGAGGGAATTTATATGACTGACTGAAACTGGTTGCTATTCTGGTGCCATGGTAGGCGCTGGTGCTGTTCAGGATTGAGCCCGGCAAAAACTGGCCACTCATTCCACTAGCCCTGCACATGGACAAGCCTCTCAGTGACAATCAGACAGAGGTCTCAGTCATTAATAGCCAGAGATAATACCATATGGAGTAAATAAATAACATCTCTTCAACGCTTCTCTGTACATCCTGGTAAATAGCAAGTTAAAGCAGAGGCCACATCAACAGCTGTGTAAAATACTCTCTACCTTTCTTAAAGATGATGGATAATAGATAGGCTGGAATAGCACAGAATTCTCCTAAGTTTTGTCCTGGAAGGGGAAAATAATGTAAAAACAGTAGTTACAGACAAAAGCAACCTTGTCAGTTTACAAATAGAAACTAGGTCTAGGTCAGAGACTCTTTACTCAACTGAAGCACTCAAGATTGAAAATTCCTTAGATAAGCTAGGTGGGCAGTGGGTGGCGGTGGCTTATGTCTATAATCCTAGCTACTCAGAAGGCTGAGTTCTGATGATCATGATTCAGAACCAGCCAGGGCAGAAAAGTCTGAGATTCTTACTTCCAACCAGCAAAGAGCCAGAAGTGGAGCTGTATGGCTCAAGTGGTATAGCACTAGCCTTGAGTGAAAGTTAAACGAGTACAAGGCTCTGCCAAATGCTGGTGGCTCACGCCTGTAATCCTAGCTATTCAAGAGGCTGAGAGCTGATGGTCACATTTCAAAGCCAACCTGGGCAGGAGAAGTCCATGAAACTCTTACCTCCAATTAACCACCAGAAAACTACAAGCGACTCTGTGGCTCAAAAAGGTAGAGCACTAGCCTTGAGCAAAAAGCTCAGGGACGGCACCCAGACCCCGAGTTCAGGTTCCATGACTGACCAAAAAAAAGTGCAAGGCTCTGAGTTTTAAATTCCAGTACTGGCATGTGTGCAAGTATACATGCGCGTGTGCACATACATGTGCACACACACACAAGCACACCCTTAGATAAAGGACATGACTAACAGCAGCCCTTAACCACCTTTAACCACTTGGCTGTTGGTCTCCTGATTTTATGCATTCAGTTTAAATGACAAAGAAAATTCTTACATCAGAAAAAAAAATGAGACTTTTCCTTCTAAAATTCAGTGATACTGCTGAACAACGACAAGTATCTGTCACTAACAGGCACACATGTAGGCCAGGAGCTCCACTTTTTCCACCTGAGTTCACGTTCACATCTCTCCCATGGGTACTGTAAAAGCTAGCAGTCCCAGTCTTTACCATCATTTTTGGAAGCTTGGAGAGAGGCCACTGCAGAGAGTTCATTCCACAGCCTTTCCAGGTCTTATCTGGAAAAAATGCCATGCTTTGTACCAGTCCTTGCAAAGTAGAGGCAAGGGAGGTTTTCAGTGGAGGTTCCAAAGGGGAAGAACAGTCATACTGATACACAAGCTCTGAAAGGCTGTTCCAAAACATTGTTCTCCACTACCCAGAGGCCCAGGTGCAGCATGGGAAAGTCTTGATTGCTGACACTTTCAGGAATGAAGACAAGGGCCAGACCAGAGGTTTAAGGGTGACAGCAGATGGCAGATGTGTCCTCACTGCCTGTCACTGTCCTGTGGAGTCAGGTTTGTAACAAAGCAAAGAGTCAGTTTAATCACCATTTCCCCTTTTATTCATTTCAAACATACTCAGTGAAATGCAGAGAAATGCATTCTACTTCACAGGACTTAAGACTTCAGATAAAAATAAGCACTGGCTCCAAACAGTCTTGCCAAATTGCAGTCCTCCAAAAAGAATCTATTTTTCTTCAAATGTCAATCCTTCACAGTCTCAAAACTGCAGCAGCAAATTATTCCTTAAAACTGGTCCATATTTTACAGCATCTTAAGAGGGTTAGAGCTTTGTGAGTCCTAAAAAGAAAACAAGCCTAGAAAGAATTGAACAAACTTTGGTGCTACCTGTAGTTTGGGCAGGACAGCTTCACCTCAAATCCCACGATGGGCAGTGGGGATTAGCAGGTCACCTGGCCTGCCACTGTGTCCTCCGCTCCACTCTCCTGGGGAATTCTTCATGCAGACTTTTGGAAGTGAACTTCACAGTCCTTGCATTCTGTTTATTGGTCCCTGTCAGTCACCAACAAAGGGTGTGACAGAAAAAACCCCACAAAAGATAAAACAAGCTGGTGCCTCACAGAAGAGCTTTTCAGAGCAAATCAGGTAGGATGAGGCCAGGAGGCTTTGGTTCAACACAGTTGATCCAGAAGTTGGCACAGCTGGCGTGATACTGGTGTCCTCCATAGGCCAGCTTGAAACTGTCTGTTTCTGAGTTGAAAGCCTGCCGGAAATAGACAGAGATGTGGGGCAAATCAGGCCTTTTCTGAATCTAAGAGCTTGTCAGCAACTAACACATAACACCTCTCCAGGTATCACAGAGGCTGAGCTCTGAATGACACACACACACAAAAGCTGAACAGGTAGCTATAGAAATTCAAGTGAGAAAGTTTCCACTGCTAATTAAAGGTATATAAAAATAATTATCAAACAACCTACTTTCAGCAAAAGGTGGCCAAATCTTTCATAGAAAAGGCAGAGGAGATTGTGGAGAAAAACCGAGAGAATATGATATGGAAAACTAAAATAGTCAAGAGGTCAGAAATGGTGGTGCATGCCTGTGATCCCAGATACTCGGGAGGCAGAGATCAGGAGGACTGCAGACTTATGCAGTTGGAAGTCAGCCTGGGCAAAAAAGTTAGCAAGACTCCATATCTCAACCAATAATTCAAGGGGGGTTTTCATGTTGGTATTCTCATCTAAGCATGATATGAAGGATGGAGGTTTGTAAATCAGGCCAACTCAAGCAAAAGTGTAAAACCCTATTAAAAAATACCTAAAGCAAAAGGACTAGAGGTGTGGCTCAAGTGGTAGAGCACCAGCCTAGCAAGCTCAAGGAAGCTATGAGTTCCCTCCCTAGTAATACCCCCCAAAATGAAAGTAAAGTCTGATACCAGTAATTCACATCTGTATTCCTAGCTACTGGGCAGAAAGTCCATGAGAACCTATGAGAACCTATCTCAAGTGGTGGTGTGGGCCTGTCATCCCAGCTACCTGGGAGGCTAAAATGGAAGGGTTGTGGGTCAGGGCTAGCCTGGGCCAAAAAAATGTTATGAAATTCCAAAAATGTTCACTGAAAAAACTGGGCATGGTGGTCTGTTCCTGTCATCCCAGCTACGACAGGAAACAAACAGGAAGACTATGGTCCTGGTCAGCCACGGGAAAAGGTGAGACCATGCCTCAAAAATAACTAGAGGAAGCCGGGCGCTGGTGGCTCACGCCTGTAATCCTAGCTACTCAGGAGGCTGAGATCTGAGGATCGCGGTTCAAAGCCAGCCCGGGCAGGAAAGACCGTGAGACTCCTATCTCCAATAAACCACCAGAAAACCGGAAGTGGCGCTGTAGCTCAAGTGGTAGAGCGCCGGCCTCGAGCTGAAGAGCTGAGGGACAGCGCCCAGGCCCAGAGTTCAAGCCCCACGACCGACAAAAAAAAAAAAAAAAAAAAAAAACTAGAGGAGTGGCTCAAGTGGTAGAGTGCCTGCCTAGCAAGCATAAGGCCTTGGGTTCAACTTCCAGTGCCACAAATAATTAAATAGCCAAGAGCTGTGGATAACTCGTTCCACACTGTGCTGAAGGCTGCTTATTTATTATCATATATTGTCTCTCCAATTTCTGAGACTGGCTCCAGTCTTATTATGACAAAGAAATGATAAGACAGGAAACAATTACAACAACTCTTGAAACGTGACAAGTGAATCAACACCACACCACATTATCTGCAGTTTCAGTTGCTACACTCAGTCAGGTAATGTCCTGCAATTTGTGTTCTAGAACACTACCAGTAAAGAAGTCAAGCTTGGAACCCCAAAGAATTTGCTTTGTCTCTGATGGGCTAAATCCTGAGGGACTCTGGTCTCATTCCATATCACTACAATGTCTTCCAGTAGCTGCTTACTCTTTTCTGAGGTCATGGCAGAGAAAGAGCCGTAACACCAGAAGCAATGATGAAACACAAGCAAACAGACCAGACAGACATGTTAGCGGATCCAATCTAATGCTATGGGACAAGAATGAGTCAGTGGAGGATTCATGATTGGCACGGTCCAGGATGGCAACAGAATCATTTGCTTGCCTTCCACACTCAAAATTAAGATGGAGACGCTAAGATAATGTGTAACTGATTCATACTTTTTTAGGATGTCCTTCAGCAGGCTTCTCTTCTTTCTGAAATAATGTTGAAATCATAGGTCAAAAAAAAAAAGTTCCCCAAAACAGGGCATCTAGCTTCAAATAAATCTTTGGGGGTTTAACCTTTTTCTCCCACCCCTGTGCCTGGGGTCCTAGAGGTACAGCACGAAGTACTTAGGAAGCGCAGAACCACACCAGGAGCTCAACAGCTGCCCAGTGTCCTCTAAAAAGACTGAATCTGTTTGGCAGCATTCTGGCCATTCTCAGATCCCCACCTGTAATCACAAACCTTGCAGTGTCAAGTGGGTTTCACTTGGGATTGTTCCTCAAGTCATGCTAGGGACACAGTCATCTGCTGAAGGAATGGCTCTGACTTACCCGGCTCCTTGAATCCACGTTTAAGAGGCACACCCCACAAGCAAGTTCCTGAGCATTTTTAATCCCAGGCCGCAGCATACAGGAGGAAAAATCCAGCGAATTTTCATCGGGCTATGAGGATGAAAGGTACACAGTCAAGAACCAGCATTTCCAGGGCTGCTTGCTTTACTCCCTCAATAGTCACCAGGTGTGGGAGCAAATTAAGTCAGTGCCACAATACAATAGCTTAATTTTGTACATGTTTGCCAAGTACCTGCCATGTGCTTTGTGGTAACCCACAATCACCCACGTGGTACTGTCCACTCCAGGTGGACAAGGATCTGTGAAGTTGGGGCCTGGGCTGTCTTTAATAATACTGAGATAACCCCGGATAATGACAAAATTCTCCCTAAGGTAATGGCTACATTTCCTATGGTTATTGTAAGTTGATCCACTAGGGATAACCAAAATGTTTTTGAGCAACAAAGCAAAACTATAGTATGTATTTGTATTTTTCTCCCTAAGGGATAGGAAAACGCTTCTTTTTTTTTTTTTATTCTCTTTCTTTCTTTCTTTTTCTTTTTTTTTGTCAGTTGTGGGGCCTGGGTGCTGTCCTGAGTTCTTCAGCTCAAGGTGAGTGTTCTACCACTTGAGCCACAGCACCACTTCTAGTTTTCTGGTGGTTTTATTGGAGATAAGAGTCTCATGAGTTGGGCACCGGTGGCTCATGCCTATAATCCTAGCTACTCAGGAGGCTGAGATCTGAGGATCATGGTTCAAAGCCAGCCTGGGCAGGAAAGTCTGTGAGACTTTTATCTCCAATAAACCAATAGAAAACCCGAAGTGGCACTGTAGCTCAAGCGGTAGAGCGCTCACCTTGAGCTGAAGAGCACAGGGACAGCACCCAAGCCTAGAGTTCAAGCCCCACGACCAACAACAATAACAACAAAAAAAGGCTCATGGACTTTCCTGACTGGGCTGGCTTTGAATTGTGATCCTCAGATCTCAGCCTCCTGAGTAGTTGGATTTACAGGCGTGAGCCACTGGCACCAGGCTGGAAAAGCTTCTTCTTAAATTATGTGGATTGGGCTGGGAAGGTGGCTTAGTGGTAGAGTGCTTGCCTTGCATGCATGAGGCCCTGGGTTCAATTCCTCAGCACCACAGAAAATGAAGCAAGTGGCGCTGTGGCTCAAGTGGTAGAGTGCTAGCCTTAAGCTGAAGAGCTGAGGGATAGTGCCCAAGCCCAGAGTTCAGTTCAGGCCCCAGCATGGACCAAAAAAAAGAAAAAAAGAAATTATGTGGATTATGTAAGATGTTTTTCTATCCCTTTCTAATTTGAAATAACAAATCATAAAGAATCTCCACAAAGTTTTCTTCAACCAGAGCTGGGGTAGGAAAGTGTGATTCAGTTCTATACAAGCGGGCACTGGCTTGGGCGATGGAAGTAAATGCAATGCACACTATATTAGCTTAGTCCAAGGATAATTATTTTCCCCTCTCTTTTTCACTGCAATCATGGAACTCTGGTCATATGCAAAAGAGGCTGGTACTACCACTTATTTACTAGTTCTGTTGTCTGTAAAATGGTAACAGTATCCCTCACCCTAGCTTCCTCCCTCAGTTAGTGGTGGAACTCTCAGGGCAATAGGACATGTGTTCTGGAAACAACAAAATAGTCTATGTAATTACTTGCTTTGAGAGAAAAACTCTAACAAGCTTTACAAAGAGGTTAAAAACATATTATCACCTCTGTAATCTACATCATAGACATTCATAAGTCAGGACTATTTGAGAAATAGAATCTAAAAAACTCTGAATCACGAAATCAGTAAATTAATAAAGCCTTTGAATATCTGTTTACCAAAGGCATAATGAGAGCAAATGAAAAGGTCCTACTAGTATATCCAGTGAAAACCCTCAGAGTACATATTTTATCCTCTAAACAAATTCATCTTTCAAATGATAAAATTAACCTTCCTCAGTACATATGGATAAGCTGGGGATTATTGTAGTGTATAACAGAATTTGACACCACTCATTGGCCACAACTGTATCAAAATGTACACATTCTACAGATTACTGCAAAGTCACCATCTACTTTAATTGGCAGGTATCTTATGTATTTAGTAAAGATGAATATTTATATTAAACACCATGTGCTTACACAAATTAAGTCCTACAGTCAGATGGAGCTACATAATCCTGAATCTTGAGCCAGTAATAAACTTCTAAGTAGTATTCAAGAAAATCATTATTAAGAAAGAGTTTGGTGGTACTTAGCATTTTTTAAAATCAACACTCACATTCTCCTTTCCTAAATAAATGGTAGCACAGACTTCTCTTCTCTCCTAAATTAGGCATAGCTAGGTAAATTGCAATGAAACAGACCATGTGCTCTAAATCACATGCATCACCACTGAAAGGATGCCTTTAACACCAGCGTGCCATCTGTCATGTTGCCTTGACCTTCTGTGGTGGCCAACTACACTCAACGTGGTACAGGTTCTGTCATCTCTGGTCACCAAGTGAAAAGGCCATGGTATAGAGCCAATCCTACTTGAGAGGCACCTACAGTATAAGCAAGAAAGCAAGCTGAGCTGTTGTGTACTGCTAAGATTAGAGGGCATGTTTGTTACCACCACAAAACTTTATCTAGCATGTCAGATATAAAGAGTGACCTAGACACCAGTTCCACAAGCAATCCTAGACTTTTCCTGTTGGCTTGGTTACAATGTTTTGCATAATACTCTGAAATTGCTGTGGTAACAAATTAGCACAGATCCTTTTAGAGCTAAGAGCTAAGAAGCTGAAATGAACTGACTGGCAGGGCTGCACTCCCAGCAGGGTATCCCTCCCTTCCTCTTCTCCCTCCCTTCACATCACTCTGGCTTACTCTTACCACCTGCCCTGCTCTTGTAAGACTGATGTTCAAAGTCAGCCTGAGCAGAGTCCATGAGACTCTTTTCTTCAATTAATCACCAAGAAGCTGAAAGTATAACTGTGTTTCAAGTGGTAGAATGCTAGCCTTGGGCAAAAAAAAAATCTCAGGAACAGTGCTCCGATAGGCCCTGAGTTCAAGGAAAAGGATCAGCACATGCTTGTACACTCATATGCACATGTGTAAGCGCGCGCACGTACAAACACACACACACACACAAAAGCCACAGCAATAGGAAATAACTTCACTGAAATTCACTGCTATTTCTCAATGAAAGGAATCAGAAAAGAATTCGTATGACATTGAAGGTAAGTAACAATGGAATCAAAGAGCCTGTGGGATCTCCAGTTGGCTGGGTCTGGAGAAAAAGTCTTTTCTATCAGATTTTGTAAGGCAAGCATTGATCAGGTTTCCTTCTATCCTTCTCCTCATCCCAAACTGAATTCTTTGTTTCAGATCTACAGAACTTCAATCCATACTCAGGAGATAAAGGCTTAGGTAACAATTTACTCAGGGGGGCAGACCGTCAGAGCATCCCATCTTATACAATAGACTTTTCCCCTAGAGAGCAGGTTGCTTCAGGGTCTTTGTGCCCAGAGGGGTCCATGCTTCTGCCACAAGAGGGGGTTTCAGGCAAAGGGAGGGTTAGTGGGAAAGAGCTGCATAAAACCTCTTTGCCTATGTAACATCCAACTCAAGTAAATATTAAGAGACCACAACTCGGAGTTTAGGACTTCGTACCTTGCTTTCCTTCATCCAAGCATCCCTACTGTAGTGCATACCATAACTGGAGCTTTCCTCCTAGAGGAAGATAATGCAGATTCTGTGTGTGTGTGTGTGTGTGTGTGTGTACAGGCCATGTACTGATTGCTAAGCACACATTCTACTGAGTTCCACTCCAGCCCCCATGCAGCCATGCAGCCACTGTTTAAAGGGAACAGTCTTATGGATTCTCCATTAAGAAAGAACAAGACGGTGAGTGCCAGTAGCTCATGCCTATAATCCTAGCTACTCAGGAGGCTGAGATCTGAGGATCATGGTTCAAAGCCAGCCCAGGCAGGAAAGTCCGTGAGACTCTTATCTCCAATAAACCACTAGAAAACCAGAGGTGTCAGTGGCTCCAGTGTTAGAGTGTTTGCCTTAAGCTGAAGAGCACAGGGACAGCGCCCAGGCCCAGAGTTTAAGCCCCACCATGGACCAAAAAAAAAAAAAAAAAAAAAAGAACAAGCCTTTTCTAGGACCTCGAAAGTTAAAAATAACATAGTGGGGAAAAGTGTAAATTTTAAAACAATGATGTGGATTCAGATGCCAGATCTCAATTTAGGTCTTTTTATTTTCTCTGAGCTCCTGATTTCTTCAATTGTAAAAAAACAAAGAAAATACTGCTGACCTCACAGCTTGTTACTGCATTAAATGAGAATGAATACAAGGAAGAGAGCAGATGCTAAGTGCAAAACTAATGGAAACTATTGATACCAGGAGGGGTCACATACTGAAGAAGTCAAGGAGGGGCTGGGAAGGTGGCTCAGTGGTAGGGCGCTTGCCTTGCATGCCTGAGGCCCTGGGTTCGATTCCGCAGCACCAAATAAGCAAAATGAAAAAAGCCGGAAGTGGCACTATGGCTCAAGTGGTAGAGCGCTAGCCTTGAGTTGAAGAGCTGAGGGACAGCACCCAGGCCCAGAGTTCAGGCCTCACGACCGGACCCAAAAAAAAAAAAAAGAAGTCAAGGAGCCTCACAGTGACAATGTGGTCCATTGAGGACACATTTACCATGAAGTGGTGGGATGAAGGGGTCAAAGCTTCCTATACAACCTCAGTCAGGCCTCTCTGTAGGAACCAGCTTCTTGCTGTGGGCTTCTTTCCCACAGTCACTGTGGTTTATACAATTTTGTTACAACTCACCTACACAGGTGTTGGATTGTATGTCATTTATCTTTATGTAGCTATTTTGATATGTTACATAGAAAGGCTTCTTTAGGACAAGTCTCGCCTTATACTTCTGTGTAATATATGCCATTCTTCAGGCAGTGTGCAATTCAAGTTTGTTTTACAGACTTGAGGATCTATCTGCCTGTCAAGAAGAAATGAATGATACAATAAAGAAAAACATCTGAACAGAGTGATTATTTTTCTGTCGCAGTTAACAATGTGAAAAGCAATTGTAATTGGAAGAACAGAGGTAATTTAGAGAAATAAATATGCAGTGGTGTTCATGTACAATTTGCAGTGCATTCTACCACTGTAGGGTTGTAGGTAATTAATCTCTGAACCCTCACTTGGTGTCTTTTTTTTTTTTTTGCTGGTCCTAAGGCTCAAAGTCTGGGCCTGGGTGCTGTCCCTGAGCTCCTTTTTCTCAAAGCTAGCACTCTACCACTTGAGTCGCAGTACCACTTCCAGCTTTTTCTGTGACTTAATTGGAGATAAGAGTGTCATAGACTTTTCTTCCCTGGCTGGCATTGAACCATGACGCTCAGATCTCAGCCTCCTGAGTAGCTAGGATTACAGGTGTGAGCCACCACCACCTGGCTGAGATTTGAGGATCATGGTTTGAAGACATCTTGGGCAGAAAAGTCTCCATAAGACTTATCTCCGAATTAATCACTCAAAGACATGAAATGGAGCTGTGACTCAAAGTAGTAGAGTGCTAGCCTTGAACAAAAAGAGATCAGGGACAGCAACAAGGCTCTGAGTTCAAGCCCCACAACTAAGCAAAAAGAAAGAAAGAAAGAAAAAAACAGTCAAGCCTATTTCATTATATTTTCTTTCTTTGCCAGTCCTCAGGCTTGAACTAAGGGCCTGGGTAGTGTCCCTGAGCTTCTTTTGCTCAAGGCTAGCACTCTACCACTTGAGCCACAGTGTACCTTCCAGCTTTTTCTGTTTATGTGGTACTGAGGAATCAAACCCAGGGCTTCATGCATGCTAGGCAAGCACTCTACCACTAAGCCACATTCGCAACCCTCATTATATTTTCCAACTACTGTTAATATGTGGAAATGCTATGAATTTTTGCCAAACAGTACATTTAACCTGTTGAATTCAGATTTGCAAAGAATTTCATATTGCCAAATAAACATAATTTTAACACTTCAAAGTCTACATTCCATTTATTATTATATTGGCCAATTAATTTTTCTAAAAATAATTATCTAAACTGTGTGATTTGGGGGCCACAAATTAAAAAATGGTGGGCTGGGAATGTGGCTTAGTGGTAGAGTGCTTGCCTCGCATGCATGAAGCCCTGGGTTTGATTCCTCAGTACCACATAAACAGAAAAAGCCAGTGGTGGCACTGTGGCTCAAGTGGTAGAGCACTAGCCTTGAGCAAAAGAAGCTCAGGGACAGTGCCCAGGCCCTGAGTTCAAGCCCCAGGACTGTCCAAAAATAAATAAATAAATAAATAAATAAAAATGGTTTAAAAGAATGAAATAAATTTGAGAAATTACTTAAATTCTTTAAGAACTTAATATTGCAAAGTAGAAGCAATGTAACAACAGAGGGAAGATTTGCTGTTTGAGGCAGGTTGTTGCGACTGCTACAAATCCTACTGCCTGTTTCAGAGCAGTGAGAACTTCGTACCACAGAGCTGCAGTCCTGTTCAGATGGGTTATGTAGTTAAATGTAAAAAAGAAAAGAAAGAACAGTATTTATTCCTGATGTGGGAAGAATATAAATTTCTGACTTGTGAAAAAGGATATCATTATGACTAATAGGTATGGATATACCAACATACAAATTCTACTTAATATAATATACAGGAGGAGAAAAACAACTGGTGAAAGTTAATAACTTCCCTGACAACTTCTCTTTGAGAAACCTACTAGAGGGAAAGACAGACACCTCATTTCCTGGTAGATATCTGGGAAGCAGCAGAACTGTGCCTGTTTGAGCAGGAGAAAAGGAACTCAAATCAATGCTTTTTTTTTTTTTTTTTAAACTTGCATGTCTGTTGAAGGATGTAGGGTAAATGTGCTATACTCTTATTTTATAAGTTTGGTGGGTTTTGCAAGCTCTCTAGAAGCCAGCTTAGCATGTCACCTTCCTCCTTTAACCAAACAGGATCCTGGAAGTATCATCATCATCTGACAAGTGCCATCATAGGAATGTAGCCCCAGGTTCACAAGTTAGGTTTCTGGAAAGAAAAACCACTGCTGCATTGTCTAACGTGCTTACTGTGAGAGTGGCAAGTGACATGAAGCCGATTAAGTTATTCCAGACTTTATCGATGTCCTTTAGCAGCTGCTGGAGTTTCTCACTGCACACTGCAGTGGCTTTGATCCCCAGCTCCACACGTTTGGTTACTCGGTATACTTCTACCACTCCTGCCAGGTGAGAGGACAGAGGTTAGGTGCTGGAGTATGCAAAGAGCGAAGAGCAGGACTAAGCAACTTAGTTGCTTGCAGGTGTCTCTCAGAAGGAAATAGCCATAACAGAAGTGAACATACCTATTCTTTGGAGTCAGCACATCTGTCAATGCTGCCATATGACCTTTAGTTAACAGCAGATACTCTAGGGCTAGGATGTTTGGGCTCAAATCTTACTAGGTTCTACCCCTTACTAGCCATGTAAATCATGGGAATCTCCTTTTCAGTTGCCTCATCTGTAATGTTGTGATATTAATAGTACCTCTTTACAAAATGGCTGAAAAGATTAAATGTGCTAATAATGTAAAAAGGCCATGGGCTTGAACTCTGGGCCTAGGCGCTGGTCCTGAGCTCTTCAGCTCAAGGAGGGTGCTCTACCACTTGAGCCACAGTGCCATGTCCAGTTTTCTGGTGGTTAATTGGAGATAAAGAATCTCATAGACTTTCCTGCCTAGGCTGGCTTTGAACCATGATCGTCAGATCTCAGCCTCCTGAGTAGCTAAGATTACAGGCATAAGCCACTGGTGCCCAGCCAGGCTCCATCTTTTAAGAGTTTCTACTACCTCATAATAGTGCTAAGCCTTGAATACCTGGGTCTTTGGAGGACGTTCTATATATAAACCATAGCTCCTTGTTTAGGACTTAGGATTTATGTCAAATAAGGTCTTGTTTGTGACTTACGTATCTTATGTACAGATGCAAATGCTTAGTAAAATTGTATACAACTTGAGAGCTAGCTCAAAATACTTTTTCAGTAAAACTTGATAATAATACAAAGCAGCATAATTCAATAAATATAAACAAACATACCTAATAAATATTCCATGCCTTGAGCTGACTGAATAACTTCTGTACAAACAGCACTACTGCTAATTCCATTTAAGGTGTCATTTGCCTTCTTAATGACCTATAAGAAATGAAATCACATTCCCTTATATAGAAAGTTCATTGCAAATCAATTTCCAATTACTAGAAAATCCAACCAAAAAAAGCAAGGAAATGTGAAAAACTATGACTGATGCTTATACTGAAACAAAGCTGAGAATTTAGTTTTAACCTTAAAGAAACTAGCTGCCACTTCTTTGCAACTGAAAAGATAGAGGTTCTAAAGAACCTACTTTAAGGACTATTTTTATTTAGGTATAGATAATACTATTGTCTTGTTACTTCTCAAACACCCTGACTGAAGAGGAAAGTGTTGACAAATAAGTCAAACTTTGCTGTTGTAAGTATGAAAGAATCCTTATTTGAGATGAATAATTTTCACGTTGTTCAGGGCCATGACTCCCATCTAGCTTTGCCTCTGTCCATTCAAAAGAACCAAAGAGAGGACACAACAATGCAAGAGAGCACTTACATGGGTGTAACACCAAAGTACATACTCACATCCAGAGCACTCCCCAGGCATCTCTGCCACTCATATGCATATCTCTCATTTTCCTGTGGATTGTATACAAAGACCTGGGTTAAATGGGCAACCCTTGGATCCTCTACTTATGACTTTGTCAATAAAGAGATGGAAGGCTCCTTTTTATTGAAAGCCTTGTCATAAAAGTAGTTGATTGTTCTGAACCCAGTGATCATTATTTAAAATTAATAATTAGTGTTTCTAAGCACATGGCAAATGAGCCTGAAGGACATGTTTTATAGCAGCTTTCCTTTGCCAATGCTACCTTGCTATTTCCATCAGTAGCCTTTCTTTATAGGCAATCACCTGGAGGTATGCAGTCAAATCACTGGCTGATGTCAAATCACTGGCTTCCCACTCCTAGCTATAATGTCTGTGCAAATGTGTGTATGGCTAATAGGAGTGAGGAAATGAAATTTAAGTGTGCTGGCTACAGGAGGAAGAGAGCATGGAACCAAGATGTAGCAAAGAGAAACAAAATATCTTGAACATTGCCCCTTTCTCCTTTATTTTGATGTTTTAACATTCAGCTGTATGACAATCAACCACTTGAGCCACACTGCCAGCTTTTTCTGAGTAGTTTATTGGAGATAAGAATCTCATGGACTTTCCTGTCCAAGCTGGCTTTGAACCATGATTCTCAGATCTCAGCCTCCTAAGTAGCTAGGATTACAGGTGTGAGCCACTGGTGCCTGGCTCTCTGTTATTCTATATTTTACATCTGGCACCTTGTGTCATTCTCTTGATCATTTCCTCAGGTGAAATTTCAAAACATTTATTCCTGGGGTCCTCAAGACTCAGCTGGTCTTCTATCTGATCCCCTGTAGAAAAGAACTCTACTCACCTCTACCTCTCCAGTTAGATCTTTGTACTTGTCACGGATGACAGGTAGAGCAGGCTTCTCACTCAGAGTGTTGGAACGGTCTCTGAAAGGCTGCTCCAGGGCTGGAGAAGGTGAGGACCGGTTTATTTCTTTATCACCGAGGCTCAGACTCCTCTTGTGTGATCCTGGGAGGAGGGTTGATAAAAGCAAAGGTTCTGATTACTCAGCTTAGCTCCAGCAGAGGCTCCTGCTTACACAATTCTTCCCCCCCCTCCCCCGCCTTTTTTTTTTTTTCAGACAGTATGTCACGAACCATTTAGAAACAATCCTTATTCATTCTAGGAAACTCCTTATTCACTCTAGGAAACTTCTCGATGAATCCTTTCTATTGCTTTCCCTTGCTTAGTGTCCCTACCTTTAATTTTTCCTACTATTCCTCTCTTATCTAGCTCAATTGTTCTATTATTCTAAGAGCAAAAACACTGAAGCAACAGTTGTGTTGCTTTCCTACTCATTAGTTTATGGATTTGTACCTGAACTCTTCATACTTTCTCAATCCAACTGAAGTCCCATGAACTCTTCTGTCAGGATGAGATTAAAGTAAATTCAAATGTTCTTAGAGGCAGGCAAGAAAAGCAATGAAAAAGTAGGCCAGCTGGAGATAGAATTAGTAGAGACCATGTCCCATTTCTAGGGGTGTTCTACTCAGCTCTTATTAAGACATGAGAAGGCAGTTCTAGTGTTGCAAGATAGTGTGACTCTTTTTTTTTAAAGCTAGAAATCCACATTAGACAATTTATAATTTTTAAGTATGAACAATTATCTCACATTTTATGCATCAGTTGAAACAGACCTGTAGGATGAATACAGACCTCAGCCACCACATTGCAGCCTCTGGAATAAAAGATACTATAACCAGGGAAAGAGAGCAGTCTTAATTTGCCCACAAGAAGATCAAATCTATTTTTTAGCTTTTTTTTTTTTTTGGTGGGGGGTGTTAGGGATGGAAGCTAGGCCTTGTTCATACTAGGTAAGTAAGTACTTTACCAATGATCTATACCCCAGACTACTCTCTGGGTATTTTATTTTATTTTATTTTTTTATTTTTTGGTCCGGTCGTGGGGCCTGAACTCTGGGCCTGGGCGCTGTCCCTCAGCTCTTCAGCTCAAGGTTAGCACTCTACCACTGGAGCCACAGCGCCACTTCCGGTTTTTTTCTTTTTTGCTTATGTGGTGCTGCGGAATGGAACCCAGGGCCTCAGGCATGCAAGGCAAGCGCTCTACCACTGAGCCACCTTCTCAGCCCCTCTCTGGCTATTTTAAATAGTATACCTCTAAGCTAATGAACAACAACTACATGCTCTGTTTAGTCCGTGTCCTGTTTGTGTTTAATTCAAAATGTGACTAAGGGATACTGATTTGACTTCCATTTCAGGGAAGCCTTTATTAGAGCAATATGCAATTGGCCCCGATTTCAGAAGCTGGAAAGAAGATATATTTCCTGCTAAACCAAGAACCAACTTAAGAAAGAAGATCTAAGCTGGTTGCTGGCAGCTCATGCCTATCATCCTAGCTACTGAGGAGGTTGAGATCTGAGGATTGTGGTTTGAAGCCAGCCTGGGCAGGAAAGTCCATGAGATTCTTATTTTCAATAAGCTACTCAGAAAAAGCTGGAAGTGGCACTGTGGCTCACATAGTAGAGCACTAGCCTTGAGAATAAAAGAAACTCAGGGCCAGTGCCCAGGCCTTGAGTTCAAGCTCCAGGACTGGCACCAAAAAAAGAAAGAAAGAATATCTAACAACTCAGTGGAATACATCCACAGCAGTAAAATCTACTTGTAGCTACTCACCTTGAACAGAAAGGTCAAAGGTTGCAAGCTCACTTTTGATCATTTCTTCACTGGATTTCACTTTGCCTTGTGAAGTGGCTACTAAAAAGTCAAATTTGCTGATCTTCGGCTTTTCACTCTGAAACTCTCCAAAGTCATCTGAACATTCTTTGGGAGTTTCATGAGAGGTGGCACTGGACGCTGGGCTTGGGCATGTAGCCTCTTGGCTCTGTTCAACTACAGGCAGATCCTGTCTAGCAAAATCTTTGTAGTCCCCACTTTCATACTCCTTTTGTTCACTGGTCTGAGGAATCATATCTTTAAAACTGGTAAAAGCTGGAAAGGGAGTCTCAGGAAGAGCATCTTCACTTGTAAAAGTCGTTACTTTGGAGAGAGATGTCATGGTGATGTTTTCAGAACTGCCAAACGATGTCTCTTTCTTTAGAAGAACTGAGGCTGCTGAGGATCCACTTCCTGCTGAGAGGACAAATGGAGAGAGTTTTCTGCCCTGAGATGTGTCATCCCTGTCTGACCAGTCACTGCTCGTAAGTGTGCTCACTGCAAGATTGCTACCGTAGCTCCCAAAAGCAGCATATTTTAAGTCCTCTATATCTGAAAGGGAAATAAGACCCCAAAATTAGAGGCAAGCTCACAATTTCGGCAAAATCCCCTAAATTCTGCAGAAGCAAAAATGCCTAGCACATTCTATTAGCTTTATGTCATGTTGGAGTAACAGAATTTAGAGTGTGTACTAAAACTAATAGAGTTGGGTTATAATGCTTGATCTTAAGAAAAACAAAAAGAACTGGGCACTGGTGGCTCATGCTATAATCCTAGCTACTCAGCAGACTAAGATCTGAGGATTGTGGTTCAAAGCCAGCCGAGGCAGGAAAGTCTATGAGACTCTTATCTTCAATTAACTACCAGAAAACTGAAAGTAGTGCTCTGGCTCAAAGTGGTAGAGTCTAGCTTTGAGCAAAAAGAGCTCAGGACCGCACCCAAGCCCTGAGTTCAAGCCCCATGACCAACAAACAAACAGACAACCCCCCCCCCCAAAAAAAATAAAAAAACCTCAATACATTGGCCTTGAGTCTGCATAGATGTTTGGTTACAAAGACTCATTTTCTATTTAAAAATTACTAAAAGAGACACAAGGTTCATCTAGTGATGTATATACTGTTTGATGGAAGATTAAGATGATTTAATGAACTGTCCCCTTATAAACTCTTGACTTCGTTTAAAAAAGTTCTTTAAAGCATGGTCATATGAAATGTACAAGACTAATTAAGAGTTGACAGTTTATCATATCTAAAATAAAAACAATGTCATTTAACTTGTATAAATTATTAACTCCTATCTCAGGTAAAGCCAAATATGAGATTTTTATTTAATCAATTACTTACCTAGTTGCTATTTTGGTCAATTTGGACGTCATACTGCTGAGATGGAATGTGAAGAGAGGAAAATCAGTCTAATCTACTTTAGTCCTTAAAAAACAGAACCAAAAGTCTGAGTCCTGTGGAGCTCCTGTTTTTGCTTCAACTATGTATCTCCCATGCCCATTCATAAATAAAAGGGAAAGAAGTAGAAAGCAGAAATGTTGGGGTAGAGGACTCATTATACAATGCATTCTTAATACATGTTTCAACAATAAATTTAAAGAGGTAGCATGAAACAGCAGTAAGAATGTGGGTTTCTAGTGCAGATAAAACCAAATTCAACTCTGCTGCTTACTTAACTTGTGGGACACTAGAGAATTTACCTCCCATTTCTTAACCTTGGTTTTGCTCATGTGTATAATGAGGGCAAGACCATGGGCTAGAATGGCTGTGTTAGGATGATCAACTGTGGTCTGTGTGTGAAAGGCCAGGAGGGTCAGGTGGAAGAACATAACATCTAGGAGTTGTAATCTTTATAGTTTAAAATGGAATGCATTTTTGTGCCTGTACTGAGACTTGAACTCAGAGCCTGGGTGCTCTACCATTTAAACCACAGCTCCACTTCTAGTTTTTTGATGGCTATTTGGAGATAAAAAGCCTCTTGGATTTGTCTGCCTACACCGGCTTCAAACTGTGATCTTCATATCTTAACCTCCTGAGTAGTTAGGATTACAAGCCTAAACCACTGGCACCTGGCTTAAAATGGAATTATTTTAAAGTAAAACTAAAAACCCAACTCAACATTTTAGTGGTATTACTAGAAGAAAAGTTTCTAGCTTTTTCAAAAGGTAAAACCAGCTGAAACTGAACAGGACTGGTGTGGAGGAGTTCCCTTCATGATATTGCAGTTCATCTGGTTGGGCTGATAGGAGGTATTTATTTCATTTCAGTCATTGATTACAAGGCAAGACAGCCAAATGTCCCCAACAAGCACCTTCATACATGATTTACAAGGAAAATGTTCAAAAGTTTTATAACCCAGGCTTTCTTAAGTCAAAATGTGAACTAACTAACATTAGGTTATATTTCTTTCTTTCATGGCAATGCTGCATAATTTATGAGATACACAGGCTTGTAACATATAGCTCCTCAACAATAAATCTCTTTCTCTAAGCTTCCTTAGGAAAAGGGTACTAATAATTAAAATGCTACAAGAATCCAACCAGTGAAAAGCAAGTTATCTTTCACTGCATGATGGTATAGTTTAAAGTTCTATACTACAGGGGGCTGGGAAGGTGGCTTAGTGGTAGAGTGCTTGCCTTGCATGCCTGAGACCCTGGGTTCGATTCCTCAGCACCACATAAGCAAAAAGAAAAAAGCCGGAAGTGGTGCTGTGGCTCAAGTGGTAGAGCTCTACCCTTGAGCTGAAGAGCTGAGGGACAGCACCCAGGCCCAGAGTTCAGGCCTCACAACCGGACCCCCCCCAAAAAAAATTCTATACTACCAATTGTACCTTCAAACATGGTTTATTAAGCAGAAGGAAAAAGAGACTCAGGTGAAAATTTTGCTTAATAAATGAACCAAGCCTTCAGATAAGATGTTTTCCTAGTCTCTTGCTATATTGTTTCCTTCTTCTACTTAAAGGGATCAGAAGGTGCCCAAAGTCAAATGAAGCAATACATAAGACTAGTCTTCAAAGGGCACATTAGGAAGAATGTTTCACAATACAGATGTTTTTATTATTAGATTCTACCAGAAAGCTCTTTGGGGAAGCTATATTAGAAAGTGTTTTCAGACACACCTACAAAAGGTAGCAATTTTCCTAGGGACCAAACATAAATTTAATAAAATGATAACTCCAGTTCAAATATTGCAACCAAGTTACTATGGTAATAGAAAGATCATTCTGTACAATTATGCAACAGAAAGCTTTTTACAAAAACTTAGAATTCAGTGAAAGTATAAGAAATAAGGGCTACCTTAGTTGAAGCATTTTTACATATTTTTTAATTATTAAGAAATTGATTTTTACGTATTTTTATAATTACAAAGGTCTTTAGTGAAAGTTACTTTTATTAAAGTTGATGCACATATACATTTTGCCTTCTGGAACAACTCGTAGAAATGAACAAAAAACCAAATCAAAGACTATAACGTGAAACATTTAATACTTTCTTTTTTTTCTAAATGAAGAGTAAACATACAAGAATCACTGAAATCAAACTTTTGACTTTTATATTCACTTTTGCTTATTTACTGGCTACTACAGGGTCAAAAATACTTAAGAGTATATCCTTTGAACACATTAAATACTAAACCTGATGTTATATAGGTAATGTAAGACAGAATGCTTATGTAAAATGCTTAAAGCTTAGTTTTTATAAACAGTGTAACTATAGAGTATTTTCTAGCATAACAAATACTTGTAAAAAATGTAGTGCATCAGTTCATTAAAGGTATGCTTAAAGCAAGAAAATCTCTTATGGTGAATAAATGCAGTCATGGCATTCATTATACACTATTTGGAAAATGGAACTTGTGGGCAAGGACAGGAGGGGGAAACTGGGAGAAAGTAAAGGAATGGTGATATTGTACAAAAAAATGAAATGTACTTATTTACCTGACTTGTTAAATGGTAATCCCTCTACACAACATTGTAATAACAAAATTATGTTTTAAAAAATCCCTTCTTTTCTCTTTTTACAATTCTATACTTGTTAAACAGCCCATATATATAAAGACAAATATCTATTTATATTTGTATAATGGTATTAAAATGTTATAGATTTTGTAAGACTCATCACATTAATGATAAAGACTGTAGACTAAAATGATATGGAATAACCCATACTTTATTTTGTAATAACTGAAGTTAACTATAGATGGGCTGTCAATCTGAAAGCTGAATTCTGAACATTGCAAGAGAAAAAGAAAATAGAAAATGCAATAAAATGAACAGAGAATTACAACTACATTTCCAATTCCAGTGGAGAATTCCTAGGCCATGCAAAGCTAGACTGCAATTGCACACAGATAACACATCAAATTGTGTGCTTTAATACATGTACTTGTTTACAGCCAGGAAAGTCCTACTACAAAGGGCAAAGGAATCAACTGTATAACCTGCTTTCCATTGTAGATCTCAAATCAAGGAAGGGATTTATTTCTCATGTTGGAAGCAACCTTATCAGTCTCTACCATAACCCATGCCAAAATTCCTTTTGAATGGATATAAATAAAAAATTTCCAAGCATTTGAGTTGCTGCTATGGAACACAGAAGGCCCTACCCATTTCCATGGCCATGTTCTAAAGCTGACAGTGCGCGTGCGCACTCCCACACACACACATACAGTCTGCTGGCTTTTGAGGAAAAGACTTAGAAGAATGGAAATAAATGTGCAAATTCTACTATTTTCAAGTGTTTTATAACAGTAGGTGTTCACTGGACCAAGGCAAAAATGTCTTTTAATTTCCTATATTGATTTAACCTAGACTTTATTTACCAAAGCAAGCCATGTCAGATCGTCTTCATCCTCAGCCCTATTATTACTACCTTAGAGAATAAACAGCCCTATTATTACTACCCTAGAGAATAAGGTCTCAAATACTTTTACAGGTGATGCTTAAGAAAGCAGTAACAAAATGATGATCACAGTGTAAGTGAAAGATGCTATGTTTTTTTTTGTTTTGTTTTGTTTGGTTTGGTGGTCATGGGGCTTGAACTCTGGGCTTGGGCACTGTCCTTCAGCTCTTCAGCTAAAGGTCAGTGCCCTATCACTTGAGCCACAGCACCACTTCTGGCTTTTTTCTGTTTATGTGGTGCTGAGGAATCGAACCCAGGGCCTCATGCACGCAAGGCAGGCACTCTACCACTGAGTCAACTTCCCAGGCCCAGATGCTATGGCTTTTAGGGGTATCATAATGTTTTTTTGTTTGTTTTGGTGCCGGTCCTAGGCCTTGAACACAGCGCCAGGGCACTGTTCCTAAGCTTCTTTTGCTCAAGGCCAGCGCTCTGCCACTTAAGCTTCAACTCCATATCCAGCTTTTCTGGGGGGTAGTTTACGGAGGCAGGAGTCTCACAGTCTTTTCTGTCCAGCCTGGCTTTGAATTGCGATTCTCAGATTTCAACCTCCCAAGTAGCTAGGATTATAGACCTGAACCACTGGTGCCTGGCAATAATGTTTTTATATAAGGCTAGGAAATGCTATGGTATAATCATCCTCCTTTGTATT